GCCTACGTAGAGGCTCCAAGAGCGACTAGGTCTCCATGGTTGTAGTTGACCAGGCCGACGGGTGGCAACAGGTACGCTGCTGGTGCCAGGCCGGTGGAGCGTCGCAGCCGAGAAGCCTTTGAATGGACCCGTGCGCCTTGCGGCTGTCGTAGGGTCACGCACGCTGTCAATCTGAGTGGCCGCCAAGTGGGATAGCGATCAGCCGCTCGCCCGCCGAGGTGCCGTCCTGCGGGCGCCCCGTAGCAACGCCCGCTTTGAAGGACAGGCGCCACCCGTCCTTCATCTCCTCAGTCCAGTGAGGCGCACTTCGTGTCGGGCGCATGCGTCTCGACAGGGCCGATGACGGGATGCGCTTTCCTGTGGGTGTTGAGGAAGTTGCGAACCCTGCTGCCCCGTTCAGTGATGTTGGCGAAACGGATTGTGACGAGCTCAGCGGACTCGTGCTGAGATAAAGCAGGGTCATCGATTCGGCCTACTACGACTCATAGTGCGAGCTCGTACTGTGAGTCGTAGTAGAAAGCTCGCACTATTGGCCGTAGTAGGGAGCTCGTACTATGAGTTGAAGTAGGGAGCTCCCACTACTGGTCAAAGTAGGGAGCTCCCACTCTGAAGCGTACTGGGGTGCTCCCACTGTGAGTCGTAGTAGAGGGCTCCCACTTTGAGTCGTAGTAAGGAGCCCCCAGTATGAGTCGGAGTAGGGAGTTCCCACCATGAGTCGTAGTAGGAAGCTCGCACTATGAGTCGTAACAGGGAGCTCCTACTATGAGTCGCAGTAGGGAGGTCGCACTATGAGGCTTAGTTGGGAGCTCGCACTATGAGTCGTAGCAGGGAGCTCCTTCTATGAGTCGTAGTAGGGAGCTCCCACTCTTGGTCGTAGTAGGGATCTCCTTCTATGAGTCGTAGTAGGGAGCTCCCAGTATGAGTCGTAGCAGGGAGTTCCTACTATGAGTCGTAATTGGGAGTTCGCATTCTGATTCGTAGTAAGGAGCTCCCACTATGAGTCGTAGTAGGGAGCTCCCAGTATGAGTCGCAAGGGAGCTCTTACTATGCCCATCTTACCATTCCTGTCAAGCTCGCTCCGCTGGACACACACGCTTTTGGTGTCCAGGGATATGTAGCGTCGCATAGTGGCGTCCAGTGGCTTGGTGTGTGTGTGTGTGTGTGTGGGGGGGGGGGGAGGTGGGGGGGGGGGGGGGGGGGGGGGGGGGGGGGGGGGGGGGGGGGGGGGGGTGGGGGGGGGGGTGCACGGGTACCACACCCCGGAGTTATCAATGACAAAGTGTACGCGGCCTCCAACCATGGGGCGGAAATGCGGAACAGGGGCTCCCGTGGGTCGGGTACCCATCATTCGCCTTCACCATTAGTAGTACAGGTAGTAGTAGTATAGTAAGGTAGGAGTAGTAGTAGTAGTAGTGTGTAGTAGTAGTAAGTAGTGTAGTAGTAGTAGTATAGTAGTAGTTAGTAGTAGTAGTAGTATAGTAAGTAGTAAGTAGTAGTAGTAGTGTAGTAGTAGTAGTAGTAGTAGTAAGTAAGTAGTAGTAGTAGGAGTAGTAGTAGTAAGTAGTAGTAGTAGTGTAGTAGTGGTAGTAAAGTGGTAAAGGAGTTGTAGTAGTGGTAGTGGTAGTGGTAGTGGTAGTGGTATGGTGAGTAGTGGTATAGTGGTAGTAGTCGTAGTAGAGTAGTAGTAGGAGTAAGTAATGTAGTTAGTAGTAGTTAGAATTTGTAGTAAAAGTAGTTGTAGTAGTCCGCAAGTAGTAGTAGTAAGTAGTAGTAGTAGTAGTAAGTAAGTAGTAGTAGTAGTAGTAAGTCAGTAGTAGTAGTAGTATAGTAGTAGTAGTAGTAAGTAAGTAAGTAGTAGTATGTCGTACGTGGTAGTAATAGTCGTAGTCGTACGTAGTAAGTCGCAGTAGTCGTAATAGTCGTACATTAGCAGTCGTAGCAGTCGTGTAGTCGTATAGTCGTAGTATAGGAGTAGTAGTAGTAGTTGGCGTCGTTTGAGTCGTAGCAGTCAGTTCATCGTTGGGAGTAGTAGTAGTAGTAGTAGTAGTAGTAGTAGTAGTAGTAGTAGTAGTAGTAGTAGTAGTAGTAGTAGTAGTAGTAGTAGTAGTAGTAGTAACAGTAGCAGTAGTAGTAGTAGTCGTAGGTTGTAGTCGTAGACGTAGACGTAGTCGTAGTCGTAGTCGGAGTCGTAGTCGTAGTAGTTGTCGTTGTTGTTGGTATTGTTGTTGCTGTTGTTGTTGAGGGTGTTGTTGTAGGTAGTAGTTGTTGTAGTAGTAGTTGTTGTTGTTGTTGTGGTTTTTGTTGAACGTTAATTACTAAACAAGTCTTACGCCCTGGCGCTCTCGCCGAGGCGCCGGCTACATTTTCATTGAAAATGAGGCTCCTGCTGGAGCGGTTTGGGGGACCGCCAAAACCGGCCCCCCAACAACAACAACGCTCCCGCTCGAGACTTCATCCTTTTTTACTCAGGGGTGGTGTTTTTGCTCGCCGCCGAAAGCCGCCGTCCTAACAAAACCAGCGCTTCCGCTCGAGACTTCCTCCCGTTTTACCTTGGACTGGCGCGCTGGTCTTTCTCAAGGCGGTGCTCCTCCTCGCCGCCGAAAACCGCCACCCCGACAAAACCAGCGCTTCCGCCCGAGACTTCCTTCCATTTTACGCTGGACTGGCGCCCTACTCTCTTTTGAATTGGCGCCGCTCCCAGCAAGAACAACGCTCCCGCTCGAGGCTTCCTCCCTTCTTCCTGAAGACGGTGCTGTTCCTCGCCGCCGACAACCCCCGTCCCGACAAAACCACGGCTTCCGCTCGATGCTTCCTCCCTTCTTACTCAAGGCGGTGTTCCTCCTCGCCGCCGAAAATCGCCGCCCCGACAAAACCAGCGCTCCCGCCCGAGACTTCCTTTCGTTTTACGCCGGACTGGCGCCCTACTCTCTTTTGAATTGGCGCCGCTCCCAGCAAGAACAACGCTCCCGCTCGAGATTTCCTCTATTTTTTCTCGGGACGGTGTTGTTCCTCGCCGCCGACAGCCCCCGTCCCGACAGAACCACGGCTCCCGCTCGATGCTTCCTCCTTTCTTACTCAAGGCGGCGTTCTTCCTCGCCGCCGAAAGCCGCAGTCCCAACAAAACCAGCGTTCCCGCTCGAGACTTCGTTTTGTTTTATGCTGGACTAGCGCCCTACTCTCTTCAACATTGGCGCCGCTCCCAACAACAACAGCAGTCCTGCTCGAGACTTCCCCCCTTTCTATTCAGGGCCAGGTCCTTGCCTCACCGCCGACAGCCCCCATCCCTACCAAGGCAATCCGATCGTTCGATATTCCCTTGTGCTTTACCCTCCGCTGGGTTTCCACTGGCGGTCTCGCATCGGTGCAGCAAGGCGCGGGCATGTGTTTTCGAGGCGGGATATGTTGAAATTCCTTGGAGGAGGTGTTTGCAAGACCTCATTGGGCGGGAGATCTGGGAATGGGAATAACGGACCCCGCTATAGAACAAGAGTCCCCCATTACGTGGGTGGTTATCATGATGGTCGCAAGCTTCGTGTGGAAACATCGCGCATGAGGGTAACATGCTTGTTGTTGTTGAATATTATTACTTCTAAAGAACAATTATTGTTGGGACCCCTGGTGCACGACCCCCCCGCCGCGCCTAGGCCGCAGCCACGTTTTCATCATTTTCGTGAGGAAGTCTCAGGCAAAACGGGTTGGTCCGGATCCGGTTGTGTTGTTACGATCGGTTTTCCCTTGCAAAAAATAAGCTAAAGTGGACATTTCTTGTTCTAACATAACCAAACTTCAAGAATCCCTTGCAAAAAATAAGGTAAAGTGGACATTCGCGCGCGCAAGACGAAATCCTTCCAAAACCTTAGTTTTCGTAGCGATTTTAACATAAAAACATCAAAAAACCAATGGTTTTTCAAAAAAAAATGTCAAAATTCATCCCGCGCGCTCTTGCGGATTCGTAGGAAACCCAACACTTTTTAAACATTTCTGTCAAACGGGCTTTTGCGAGCAACTTTTTCGAACTTCTGCAACAACGGTTGCGCACCTGCCAGGGCCATCATCCCTGTCAAATAATACCATGCGGGACACATTCGTTTTTTCTTCGCGCGCGCACGCCGTCGTCGTCGGCCGCGGGGCCCTAAATAGTAGCCACGGTCGTCCGCATGCCACGAAGTGAAGTGTCCGAACGTCATAGGGCGGGAAGCTGGGTGTGGGTGGTGGCGAAGAGTCGTTTGGAAATTTGGTAGAGCTTGAACCGGCCCCCCCAAAAAGTGGGGGTATTGCCCGCCTCCTATGAAAACCCTGGCACTGGTGAGAACGGAGTGTCCCCACGTGCTAGTAATTGTTGTTGTTGTTGTTGTTGTTGTTGTTGTTGTTGGTGGTGTTGGTGTTGTTGTAGTAGTAGTAGTAGTAGTAGTAGTAGTTGTTGTTGTTGTTGTTGTTGTTGTTGTTGTTGTTGTTGTTGTTGTTGGTGTTGTTGTTGTTGTCGTTGTTGTTGTTGTTGTTGCTGTTATTGGTGTTGCTGTTGCTGTTGCTGTTGCTGTTGCTGTTGTTGGTGTTGTTGTGGCTTTCCCACTGATGTGAGTGTCGTCACACCTGGCGGGCGCCTGCCCTCATTCATTGCTTTCTCAAGCGCTCTTTCCCTTACATTTTCCGCGCCGCTCGCCAGTTTGTTTTGCTTACCCGAATTGTTATTTCCTCCATCTACAGCATAAACGCGACAGGCTCGTTCCTCACGTTGGTTAGACGAAGAAGAGGAGGAGGACGAGGAGGTGGACGAGGAGGAGAGGGTGGAGGAGGTGGAGGAGGAGGAGGAGGAGGAGGAGGATGAGGCGGAGGACGAGCAGGAGGACCAGGAGGACGAGGGCACGAGGAGGATGCGTAGGTTCCCGATCCTCGTCCTCCTCCTCCTCCTCCTCCTCCTCCTCCTCCTGCCAGCCGCCTCGGGCGTGTCCGCCGCCCGCTGCCCGCTGCCACGCGCGGCGGCGGGCCGCGGCCGGAGCCAGGAGCTGTCGACGAGCAAAGAGGAGGGCGAGGCTGCGGGCGCTCCTGCCGCGCGGGGGGAGGAGGAGGAGGAGGAGGAGGAGGAGGAGGAGGAGGAGGGGGAGGAGAGGAGGAGGGGGAGGAGGAGGAGGGGGAGAGAAGAGGAGGAGGAGGAGGAGGAGGAGTGAGGGGGGGAGGAGGGGAGGAGGAGGAGGAGGAGGAGGAGGAGGAGGAGGAGGAGGAACCCGAGGAGGAGGAACCCGAGGAGCAGCAGGAGCAGGAGGAGCAGGAGGAGGAGGAGGAGGAACAGGATGATGATGATGATGATGATGATGATGATGATGATGATGATGATGATGATGATGATGATGATGATGATGATGATGATGATGATGATGATGATGTGATTGATGGTGGTGGTGCTGATGTTGATGATGATTGATGATGGATGATGATGATGAAGATGATGATGATGGATGGATGGTATTGTGGTTATGATGGATGATGGATGGGGGCATGGGTGGGATGGTGGATTGATGATGCATGATGATGATGTGAAGATGATGATGGATGATGATGATGATGCTGGTGATGGGATGATGATGTGAAGATGCTAATGCTGATGCTGATGCTGATGTGATGCTGATGCTGATGCTGTATGCTTGAAGTGATGTTGGTGATGATGTTGATGCTGATGCTGATGCTGATGCTGATGATGATGATGATGATGATGCTGCTGATGATGATGATGATGTTGCTGCTGATGATGTTGGTGATGATGCCGATGATGATATCCGTAAGGGCTTCGCCCCCTGCCGCCGGCCCCCTCTCTCGGAGAATGGGCCATGGAAGAGCTAAGTCATGAGGCCTTGGCGCTGTCGTGAAGCAGTATCGAAACTTCATGCGAAGCCGATTCGCAATCAGCAAAACCAACTGATCACAAGACGGGTTACCACACCTGGCGATTGGTAAGACGTGTATGGTTTACGGGCTTGGTTACCACACCTTGCGATTAAAGGGCCGAGGGAGTTCTCGCAGTTTGGGTTACCACGCCTTGCGATGGATGTGCGTGATGGGTGGCACCGAATTTCAGAAATGTGGCAAATCCCGTGTGTTTTTGGACCCTGACCCCGCGGATCTGCGTAAGGGGTGGCGCCGAATTTCAGAAATGTGGCAAATCCCATGTGTTTTTGGAACCTGACCCCGCGGATCTGCGTGAGGGGTGGCACCGAATTTCAGAAATGTGGCAAATCCCCTGTGTTTTTGGACCCTGACCCCGCGGATCTGCGTGAGGGGTGGCACCGATTTCAGAAATGTGGCAAATCCCCTGTGTTTTTGGACCCTGACCCCGCGGATCTGCGTGAGGGGTGGCACCGAATTTCAGAAATGTGGCAAATCCCTTGTGATTTTGGACCCTGACCCCGCCGATCTGCGTGAGGGGTGGCACCGAATTTCAGAAATGTAGCAAATCCCTTGTGTTTTTGGACCCTGACCCCGCGGATCTGCGTGAGGGGTGGCACCGAATTTCAGAAATGTGGCAAATCCTATGTGTTTTTTGGACCCTGACCCCGCGGATCTGCGTGAGGGGTGGCACCGAATTTCAGAAATGTGGCAAATCCCGTGTGTTCTTGGACCCTGACCCCGCGGGAATCTGCGAGAGGTGTGCATTTTCACCCTAAAAAACATAAAATAGTCAAACTACCTATTGAAAAATGACCTTACCCCGTCTTGTCTATATCGATCTTTTATGCCCCTCCCAAACATTCAACAACAATATTCCCCCCAAAAAAAAAAAAAAAATTCCATCCCCTTCTAAACAGATATTATTTTATACTCAAAACTCTCCCCCCATCCAAAACATACCCCTCTCCCTTTTTATCACCCCATCCTTAAATTTCACCCCCCCACTCTCTATACCCACACAAATAAACCTTAACCCTCCCACCTCCTCCCAGGTAATGCACTGGTGAAAAACAACATCTACACCAGTTACCCGTAAACTGCGAAATACGCTCCTACAGCCTTGGATGCCCCACAAGGGGGCCGGCGGATATTGACGATGATGATGATGCTGATGCTGCTGATGATGGAGATGATGATGTTGATGATGCTGCTGATGATGATGAGGATGAGGATGGTGATGGTGATGGTGATGACGGTGATGCTGATGATGTTGATGTTGCTCATGCCTGAACGCCCCAGACCCCCCGACCAGATTTGTTTTTTTCCTTCCGCAGGGGTTCACCTTCGCGGCGACCCGTCAAACCCAGGATCCCAGGCGGCGCATGGATGTTCTCCAAATCGGCTTGCCCTATAGGAGTCCTAGCCCATCATGAGTAATTGGTCTTTAGCACCCCCCCCTTTTTCCAATGGCCCCACCTTTTTCCAATGTCCCCCCTCGTTCTCCAATGGCACTTGCTTGCTTGCTCTTGCGTGCTTGCTCTCGCTTGCTTGCTTTTGCTTGCCCTTGCTTGCTTGCACTTGATCGCTTGCTCTAGCTTGCTTGTTATTGCTCTCTTGCGCTTGCTTGCTTCCGCTTGCTTGCTTGCGCTTGCTTGATTTCGCTCCTCCCGTTCTCCCGTCCTGCTCCCGTCCTCCTCTCGTCCTCCTCCTGTCCTCCTATCTATCTGGAGTCAACGCTGGTTGATCTTGTTCTTTCTTCCGCGCGCGTATTGCCACCGAAACCCCTGAACCCCTCTGGCTACATTGGACTTGAGTACGTTGGTGCCATGTGCTAGCGCGCAGCTGCTCCCAGAGTGCACCTGGTCCTGCAGTACGGTTATTCTTGTCGAATTGCGATTGAGGCATGTATTGGAACTGTACAAGCTCTTGGCTCAGGAATAAGGAAACACGATCGGATCGCGACTTGGGAAGTACAGAAGCAGAATCACATCGCGATTATTAAGGAATACGGAGACAGCATATCATGTCCATTTTGGGAATAGGACGCACTGTGGTGTTCAAGCAATACTAGTACAACTTCCTCGTATTACTACTCTGAGAGTGATGCTGCATTACATGTACAATCTGGGCTCTCGCGCTTTTCCTCTGGTTGCGCTGGGGGTGGGGTGGGACCCCGCGCGCCAGCACCCCCGCGGCTGAGAGTTCATCCCTCCTCGTGTGATCTCAGGCAGGATTAACCCCTGTGTCCGAACCCCTCGCCAAGGATTCTTTTCTCCCGCGGGAATCGGACCCCCTGGGCTCCTCGGCGCGCCCCAGGAATGCTTTCCTTCCGGATGGCCCCACATGAGTCCTACTTTGGAGTCGCCTGGGTGATGTTATGGTGATGTTGTTGCTGCATGTTGTTGCTGCTGATGCTGATGTTGGTGCTGCTACTGCTGATGATGATGGTGATGATGGTGATGATGGTGATGATGGTGATGGTGATGCTGATGGTGATGATGACGATGGTGATGAGGATGATAAGGATGATGAGGATGACGAGGATGACGGTGATGGTGATGGTGATGATGACGGTGATGATGATGATGATTCCGATTATGATTATGGCCATGATCATGAGGAGGAGGAGGGTGCTGATAATGAGGAGGATGATAAATGGAGGAGGAGGAGGAGGAGAAGAAGAAAAAGGAGAAGGAGGAAGAGGGTGTGGTCGCGGTGGAGATGATAGCGATTATGGTAATGATCCGTCGCCATTTTTGGATCAAGCTACGGTACTGTCTTTCTGTTTTGTCTTCTCCTGTTCCTCCTCCCCTCCATGAAGCCTCCTGCGATGATTCCTGATGCGCATGGCCGCGTGCTGCTTGCCTGAGCTGCGGGTGCGGGCCGCCACTTTTGAGGACTTGCTCCAGCATTGCGTAGTCCTGTGTGCCAGCGTTTCCCGACGCCGCTCAGGCGCAAGCTGAAGCGCCTCGAGATCGCCCACAGCGTCGCACGCCGCGTCACCACGACGATGCTCACCGAGCCCAGTCGCGAGGTCGAGACGCTGCCCGCTGGACACTTCCCCGTGCAGCACGAGGAGAGGTGCTTCTGAAGTTCACCAAGGACATTTTCAACAAGCAGAAGCACTACGGCAATCACGCGCTGCTCGAGAATCCAGCAACGGCGGACTCGTGGCGCGAGGACGTCATCATGGAGCTCCGCAGGGACAACTACGAGTGCACCTCTAACATGTGCATGTTCGGCATGATCGGCAAGGACGGCCTTCCGATGAAGAAGTTGGTCAGGTGGCTGGGCACGCACCCGCTTCTGACTCATGAGCTGGAGCGACACTGCGATCATAGCCATCCACGCGAGGAAGTATCGGGTGGAGGCCCTTCAGGAAACGCCACGCGGTCGCAGGTCTACACCCGGCAGCTGGCCGACGCGATCTGCCGCGGCCTTACGAGAGTCATCGAGACGGAGGAGTACTTCCATGGCGTTCACATCTGTAGCTACTACACGGTGAGCTACGACAAGCCGGGTCCACATGTACATCAGGTCTGCTACGCGGCGCCCAATTTGGAGGAGCCCCGCTAGAGAGTGATTATGACCGAAGTGGTAGCTATCATGAGTCGCCGCAACGCCGGATCAGCCAATGTCGCCAAGGATTCGGAGATGTGGAAGCAGGTGGAGGAGCTTGTGCCTTGAGAGATACTCAGTATTCAGGCGGCTTTTCAACCCAAGGCGAAACGACTCCGACCTGAATTCGGAAACGATGTTCATCGGTGCACAAGACGACAATTCTCTTCTCATTGAACACGAGTACGTTCTGGATGCCTATGCACCACGCGAGCGTTTCCAACAAGCTGTCAGGTACGGCCATGTTGTGATTGGTCGAGCTCCGGTGGGTGAACCAACACCTCCTCGACCACCTGTTGGCGGCGAATCGCGACAACCAGTACCGCCTCCAGCGCCAGACGAACCTGTGCCTGAAGAGCTACAACCTCCCCCAGTTCAACAGCGCGCTGGAGACGAGATTTGGTTTGCAGGACCGCCTCTTTCTACCGAAGAGAAACGTGTGGCTCCGATTGTGGCGAGAATGCATCAGAACCTTAGTCACCCTCTGCAGCCAGACTTCACGAGGTTTCTGAACAGCAGCGACGCCAACCCG